TCATGGAGTAAGGTGGAATTTCAGTCCAGTTTTAAATGGATGAGAAAAATGTGGTATTTACACACAGTAGTTGTAGAGAAGGGTAAACTGGAGGCATTTGTACCTGAGGTTTCTCATTCATTTTTTGTTGTTTTTGAGACAGCTCTCGCTCTGTAGTTCAGGCTGGCCTCAAACTTACGAGATCCTCCTGCCTTGCTTCTCAGGTGCTGGGGTTACAGGCATGTACCACCACACCCGGCAGTTTCTTGTTCATGTAGAAGTCCACTGCAAGTTGAAGGATGATTATTTTGCTCATCCCAGTAACTCAGATGACACAGCCACCACCTTTTCAAACCATCAGTAAACCAATCAAGGCAAAGACAAAATGTAGACAGCCTCACATCAGCAGTTTAATGTTTCAGTTCACAAGCGACACGTTATATTTGCCAATTCAAACTCCACAGCCAGACAGGTGGCTCCATTCAACCCTAAGAGCCGTAATTCTGCTCTGTATCCGATTGTCTGGAGTGGGCAGTCCTAAGGACTTCTACCGACCAGCTCTCTGGCCAACCGTTATTCAGTACACCTTCTTCCCACTGTCACAACACATGCCTTCCCTTCTGAAAAGAGATGACTCTAAAGTCCATGGAAACTCCATTCAGCTCAAGGTCTGCTCTTTCTAGACTCTAAACCAGGGCATGGTATATATTAATCTCTCCTTTATCTGTTCATCTATGCAAGTCTGTCCTCTACATATATGTGGTTTCAATAATGATATATAAACTAAAACAATATTCCACAAGGGAAAGATGAGAGAGCAGTTATACTCCAAAGCAACTCTATGCTCCAAGAGCCCTCTACTCTGAGGGTATAAAATGCCTTAGCACCCAATTCTGCTCCTTGGGAGGAGATCCACCATTCACTTCTGCCCAAGTCTTTGATCTCATCGTTTAGAAAGCCCTTCCTTTCAAAATTATTTTTACCTTCTCACCAATCTTGGAGGTTGCCACTGGGGAATCTATTTGGGGCCCAAGCAGATTTCTCCATCAGCTACCTCTTATTACTGATAGGCAGGGCCCAGGGTTCATTTTAAATTTGAAACAGTACTACTTTGAGTCAAGGTTTACAGTCCCCTTAACAGTACAATTCTGTAAATTTATATGATAAGTCAGCAACAAGCCAGGAGCCACCCACATTTTTAAAAGATGTACCTTCCTAAATCCTCCCTACACTTAACTCAGAACCATGAGCCTATGGGCACTGGAGGAAGGTTGACTTTATTGTTTCCTACTGAACTTTGTCTCACTGGGTACTGGTATTTCCAAATTCCTGAAAGATGGTATTTGGGATGTGGGAATAAGAAATCAAAATTTCTAGGAATTTCCAAATACACAAAATTACTATTGTGCTTTTTGTAACATATTTTAAAATAACTGTTACTATGTGAATCTTTTTTTTTTTTTTTTGAGTTACATTAAATGTTCCAGAAATTTCCTGGTAAGATATATAAATACTTGATTTATTATCATATTGTGAGATGATATTTCAGTACTAGTATTTCTGCCTCGTACAGGTGTCTGATAACAAAATGACAATGGTAACATAAATGTGAAATCATTTTGAAAATTTAAACTACCAGACTTAAGCTGTTATTCTTAAAATGAAATTTAAAAGCACACAAAGGTTTAGTTACCCTACATAATACTCTTTATTTTGTACAAATATTTCAAATATAAAAATATTCTTTCTTTTGTATTAATAGTTGTCATTAATGGTGTGCCCAAAAGCATCTCCAAATTAACATTGTTACGTTTCACAGACGGTATTTCCCCTTTTTAATGAGGAGAATATTTGATCCTGCTGCTGAAATGGACTGATTTTATTAATTTGAGTTTGGATGAGTTTCTCATTTGTTTTTTGAATGTTCCACAACATTTACATCTTTTTTTTTTTTTTTTTTGCATTTCTAATCAAACACTGGGAAGTGCCAACAAATTTGGTAGTGTTTGCATAATGTAACATTTCCATCTTTTGGCAAGGTTAACAACACTACACAGTCATGAATCAAAATTGCCAATTTAAGGACTTGTTTTGCTTCTGAAATGTGTTATTTCCTAGAACACCATTGACAGGATTGAGTAAAGTACACCACACATATAAACATATTAATATTTAACTTTACAAGACAGACATCACTAGCAGCACAAGGGGCACAAATATGTACTTATGACACAGTAATAGCTCCAAGTTAGACAGAATGATTAGAACGTGACCAATTCTCGTGTGCTCCTGTTCTGGTTCCTAGAACTACTGACCTCACCCTTAAACTCCACATGCCAGCACTCCCTACGCTTGCTTTTGGGTATGATCAATAGATTCCTTTGAAAAGTAAAACTATTACTTTTGATTGCTAGGCTTTAATCTTAAGGGACAGTTGTAATACTTTATCCTGTCCCAACAATTTCCTGACTGGCTTGCCTTGAGACTTTGAAAATATATAAATTTCTCAAGAAATGCTGGAAGAAATTCTCACACTGAGAAACAGTATGGGTCTTCTTAACCCTAATTAGAAGTTTTAGCAATTACTGTGATGGTCGTATTATTGATTTGATTAAATTTGTTACTTGAAGGCCATCTTCTACTGGTTGGGGATTATTGCCTCATCTAATAGAATCTTGCAAGTATCTCAATTTCTAGACTTTTTCTATTTTCTTTTGTCTCCATTTGCAATCCTACCATTTCTCATCTGAGTTCATTTCTTTCTTAAAGTATCTTCCCATGCAGCTAATAATCAAAATATGCGATTGTTATCTAAAATCTAACACAAAGACAAATGTTCATTAGATATATTACTTGTCTTCAAATATCATAGGCAAGTTTATCACTTCTTCATCATGGTGGAATCATTTCATGCAGCTTCACTGTTCTGCTTTGTTTTGAATGGCAGCACTCTGCTTTCACAATTAATTCCTGTATTGGTTATGGCATACAGGAGTTATTCCAAAGACAGGTTATGCTGCAAAAACAAAAATTCCCTAACCACAGTAGTTTGTAACAAAATGCTTATTTCTTCCTCACATGGCCATGTGAATAAACCCAGAGTTTCTGTTCATTTGGTAGCAGTCACTTAGGAATGCAGTCTGCCAGGGCAATCACCTTCTCAAATGTGACATCACCACGCCAAACAGAAAAGAGAGCTAAAGATGGTCACATGACAAGCTAAGTGCTCTAAACCAGAAGAATCTTTTACCCACAACTCACTCCCCAGAATGAGTCACAGTCGCACAGCAGAAATATCTGGTGAATAGCAGGAATGAAAATCACATTACATTAAAAAGGTGGGGGGCTGATTTTCAAGAGTTGAAAAAAATTCTAGATGAAGAAATTCTCTATTCTTAAGAGTGTATAATGGGACAAAAATCTCTTTCCATAGGTATTATAAGAATTTTCATTTTTTCCTCTAAAACTTACATGTATTGTTTTGATATTTTTATAGCTACATTAATTTGATAAAATATGGGTATTTTAAAATTTAAAACTGAACACTCTTCAATCTCATAGTGCACACTTAGAAATCTAGTACATGTATAAAAAATGCAGACCAAATTTTGTGAACCAAGACTTTCACTGTAATAGTTCTAACAGTGAAAATACAAGAATGGTTCTATAAGTATGATATGCCTGTAGAAAATACAGAGTAGGTGTATTGTCTGTATTGTGCTTGTGATATGTTGTAAAATGTTGTATGTCTGTTAATGTTTCCCTCCTTTTATCTTTAAAAAAAAAAAGAAAATACAGAGTAGGGACTGGCAGACGTCTGTTGAAAGGGCTATACTGTAAAATATATGGTCTCTTTCACACACAACTGGACTGTATACAAATATACAACAGACAATATGTAAACAAATGGCATGGTTGTTCCAATAAAATTTTGTTTCGAAAAACAAGTAGCCAGGGGGCTGGGGATTTAGCTCAGCGGCAAAAAGCGCCTGCCTGGCATGGGCAAGGTCTTGAGTTCGGTTCCCGGTACCGCAGAAAAACAAAAAAAAAAAAAAAGAAAAGAAAAACAAGTAGCCAGCCAAGGGTCATAAGTTTGCTAGCCTTCAATAGAAAGCAGTTAAAATATTTTGAATACAGCAATAAAAATTTAAATATTTTATAAGTTTAAAACTATACTATACTGTTCCTAAATTCTCCACAAAGGACACACTTTACTTTAGAGAGGAAAAGGTAACTTTTAAAAGGTACAGTTGAAGTGGCCATGTAATTCAGTCAATTCTTTTGCAGAAGTTTTTGGAAAAATCAGATGACTCCAAAGTACCTGGGACATTTCCCAGAAACCAAAACCTGAGGGAACTTGTGTAATTAGCATTTAGGCCCTAATATCTGTACACAGCTTCACCAGTAATCTTCATGAAGATACCCCACATCAATGAAGACTACATTATGCTTAGAATACTCTTTTAAATAAAGAAGGTGATTCTGTAATACTTTAAACAAGCCATTAAAAATTAGCTTTCTGTTTTGTGTTTGTTTTTTGAATCAGGGTCCAGCTATATATTTCAGGTTGGTCTTGACCTCCTTCTGCCTCAGCCTCCTCTTGCATGCTGAGTTTACAGACATATATCATGCTTGGCCTTTACATGGTTTTAGGTAAAGGTCATTAGAGTGCATAACTGACCTGCACATTCAAATCTAAGCACTCTAAGACGGGGGTAAGCGAACTGTGGTCCAGGGGCCAAATCCAGCCAACATCCTTTTCTGTAAACAAAGTTTTACTAGAACACAAATAGGATCATCATTTACATATTACTACTCCTCCCTGCACACACGTTTTCACACTACCAGGTGGATTTCAGTAACTGCAATGACACAACCTACACTTACTTACTATGGAGAATTAGTATGCCACTCACCCCCCACTGTTACTCACAGATTTGGTGTGCATACCTGAATTGCTACAGGTAGTTCCTGACTGGCGCTTGTCGATGTAAACCAACAACAGTTAACAAGTACAATGCTTAGTTCAACACTTTTGTTTATTTTGTTTTTATTGTCAGATTTTCTCAGTGAAAGATTTACAGACTGGTATAGGTCCCTTTTCTCACTGGTAGACAGGTATAGTTTGTGGATCAGCTACTTTGAATATCACTACTCTAAAGACACAGGGAGCAGGGGTAAAAATTACCCAAATCTCAAAAAGGATTCTGGTTTCACCTAAAAGACTTATTTTCACAAAGTACTTGAGAGACCTAAAATGATAGGCTCTGCTACAAATTGAATGAAACTCAGAAAATGATTCCTATGGAGTCAGACTTTTTTCTACTCCCTGCTCTTTGAAGGCTCATCTAACTCCAGAATTTCTTCCTGGTGTAAACTATGTTTCAACAAGGTAAAGGATGACAGCTAATGGGTCTCACTATCTTTTCTTGGGAGCAAGAAGGATGAAAACATTAGTTCTTCCTCAAATATTCAAGAAAATAAATAGAATTATATTTTTTCCTATTTAACATCTTAAGTTGCTGAACAGCTTTAAAAGTACAATATTAAATGGTTTTTCTCTGAAGTGAAAGTATAAAGCTACTATTCTCTAAATATTAGTGATATTACCCCCATATTTTAGTTCTAATTTAAAATAAGTCAGACATCAGCTAAAGAATACAGAATGAAATTGTATTATTTTTAAAGAAGAAATTTCTTTAAACAAGTGTACAATGTCTAAAGTAGCAAAGTTAATTTAAATCAGGCAGTGATCTGAAAAATACAATTGTTCAGGGACAGATTTTTATTGCAAACACTCAAAAACTAGTACATACAGCAGAATGTTAATACTCATTTAAAATAATATTCAGTGAAACAAAATTTTAAGAATTCAAAGCACATTTTAAGAGTAAAAATGTAGCATTTTAAATAAAAGTTTATTAGAACTTTAAAGCAAACTACTGTTCATATGATTCATTTCTGTATCTATTCTCTTCTAGATAATTAAAAAAAACCTGAAAAGCCAAATTAGCAGTTAACTTATAGATAAATTAGGCTAAATTCCCCAAACCAATTTTTTTACATCACTGCTTTAGGTCCCATTCGAAAGTTTTATCTTGTAATTACAGAAAAGTCACTTAAACTTGGCTGAACGCATGCCAAGACATGTTTTTAGTTCACCGCTTTACAATATCTACACTGTATCATACTTTGGTTTGGTTTCCAGACCGTTTTTATGGGTCTATTTTTAAAGACAATCATTAAAACAACATTAAAAGCATAGCAGCTACCAGAGTTTCAAAAATGGATTTCTATTTTATACAGTTAGTACAATGAGGGATTGCTGTTTACACCCTGACCAAAAGCACAAATATAAGTTCATATTTTAATAATCTCACTTTCACTGAAAGTTTAATTAAAGGTAAGCTTACAGCCCAGCAGGCTAACACCTGTATGGAGGCACACAGACTCAGATGTTCTATTTACATGCTTCTGGCAGACTGGGATGTTACACTGAATTCAAAGTTCTGCCCATCCAAATTCTCATGAGATCAGCTGAGCACTCTACACCTGCTCCACTGCCAGCATCCCACTTTCAGTCTTCATTAACAGTGCCCATCAGCTGCTACCTTAACTCAGCCATCCCAAAAAGCTGTATGGTTTCCAAATCACTTCCTTTAAGGTAACTGAAAAAGATACAGAGGTAACAGGACTTTAAGCTTAGACTGATGAGAAAGTTTGAAAAGTTTTATTAATATAGCTAATATTCTTATCATATCAGCAATTAAGTCTCATTTCTTCAAAAACTTAAATGAGAACTTCTGATCACAAACTGAAGTCTTTGTTAAAATCCTACTCATTTTTTTAAGACTTGGAAATCCATACTAATCATGCTATTACTGGTTAGTCGATCTGTTTAATAACTTAGATTGAACACACAGGCAACGTGTATGAATGACCTCTCTCATGTGTTCTATTTCTGACCTCCAAAGCCCGAGTGTGTTCACCGGAGAGCACTATTCCCAAGTGTGCTTCCTGTTGGTGCACTACGAGTGGCTGAACAATTTAACTCCTTTCTTTCTCATCTGCCAGGTGTGCTCTTGTGTCTGCTGTGCTATGACTGTTTTCTCCAGGAACGTCGTACGTTTGACCAGACACTACTTTATCAGTCTTCGCTGAGAGATCACTGCTACCTTTCTGAAGAATCTCTGTGGCTTCATACTCAAGGACCTCTGAAGGTGTCAAAGGCTCCAAATGAATACTGCCTTGTTCACTAACATCGGAACTAACAGAGTCAGGTTCATCTCTTTTTCTCAAAAACTGATCAATGCTAACATCACTTGACATTAACAGCAAATCCTTAATGTTCTTGGAGGAAAACTCAGCTTCACTGGAGCTGTGATCATCAGTCTGATCACATGATGTTGTATTTTCTGAACGTTGGCCAGTCTTCAGTTCCATTTCCTGACCAACATGCCTTATTTCTTTTTCCTTTTCCCCTTTATCTGCACCAATGTGTGAATCACAACTGAAGATTTTCTTTGAGCTAGTTTCCTGGTCTGCTAGACAAGCATCATTTTCTTTATCTGAAACTGTTAAGCTTTCTTCCCTTTGTGTTGATGATGAGCCTTCAAGTAAATTTGCATGACATCCACTTTTTTCTTCTGATGAACCTTCATCTTGCTTACTGAAAAAGAAAGCCATTCATTATCTATTCATTAAAAAGTGTATTTGAACACTATAAAAATGAAGATATGCCCCAAGAAAGGAGAAAATCAGCACACATCTGCTGCTGAAAGGGGAACAATGGCGTACGGTTACCAGGATGCCATCTCCTTAGTGGAGCAGGCTCGCATCAGGAGTCTGGTGAGTGGGCCAGCAGGCTTTAGTTTTGACTGTTATTTTCTTTTTTTTTTTTTGGCTTTTTTCCAGTACTGGGAATCGAACTCACGACCTTGCGTTTGCCAGGCAGGCGCTGTGCCACTGAGCTAAATCCCCAGCCCCTTGACTGTTAGTTTCAATTGTGCGAACTCTTTTCAGGTTTTTAGTGAAATCTTCTTACAGATTTGTATGAATACCTAAAATAAAGAATATATTTGGAAAAAACCCTATTTTCTTTTATGATTTATATATTCTCTTGTGCTTAAAAAGCATTCACAAACATTTCTCTAATTTTTAGTTGTGTAATGTAAAAAACAAACATACCTTAAAAACATATGTAAGAAGAACTAAGAAAAAATATGTAAATACATGAATGCATGTATATATGTTTGTACACATATATATTTATGGGTGTTTATGCTTACAATTGGGTATGAATAAAAACTATCTAGTGAATCATAAAATAGCAGAGACCAAAGATCTCTAGAATTTGCAGCTCCTTAGATTTCAGGACGCTCACTTTAACAAAGCACATGCTCACACATGCCGACTTCTTACACTTAATCTACTTGGAATTTAGACTGTAGCACCATTTTCAAATGGTCATTTATCATGTATTAAATTATTGTATGTATAAGGCTATTTCTCTGGGATCTATTTTGTTCTACTAATTTATCTTTACACTATTCTTGGCCAACATAACACAATCTTCACAAAAGATTAATGAGTGTGTATTATTCTCTAGTACAGCAAATCACCTACATTTCAATATTCAAAATCTTCAGTTTTAAAATATAAAACGTATTTGTACAATGATACTCATTAAAAAATCCTAAAGTAGTAAATACACAAAAACTTAATGTCGAACAGAAATTATTAAATATATTATGACATTAATAAATGGAAAAATCAAAATCTTTTAATTTTTCAGTTTCCAAACCAAGTCTCATTGAGATTTTTAAATGCTGATTGAAATCATACATTAATTTGGAAAATGACTTATCAAACAAATTATTTCAGTAAATTTTGGCTTCTCTTTATACATAGTTCTCATTTTTGTTACTATTATGAAGAAACATTTTGTCCATTATAATTTGTAACTATACGTTACTGGTCCATCAGAAAGATTTAGATTTTTTTATATCAAGCCACTTTAATTTATAGTCATTAATTCTCATCATTTTTAGGTCATTTTCCTGGATCTTATTTTTTCCTCATTTCAAATATATGTATGACTTTTATTTATTTATTTTTAAAATAAAGCAGATGATTTATGTGAAACTAGGGAAAGGAGGAAGAGAGCCAGAGAGAGTACTACTCTGGACAAGTAAGTAGTATCTGAAAGGGAAATACTCCTGATTTTTGGATAGATCATATTGGACAAACTATAATTTACAAAAAATGTTAAGTAATATAAAAATCACCAGTCTGATTTTCCTAACTCTAGGTGAATTGTTGTTATCCACCCCTCAAGAAATTTAGGAAAAATTCTAGGTGAAGAAAGGGCTACATAACTTTATTAGTGACGCTCAAGAAACATCTTGATGTATTATTCACTAATTTATCTGGAAGGGTAAACATTGAATTAATCTCAACAAATTAATAAACAACCTACTCTGAAATAAGCTATCAAGGCAGAAATGGGGAAAATACTTAAAAGACTAAACAAAATGATCTTTGAGTGAAGTTCTAATCAGAATGCTGGGATTCTCTTCTGTCTTTTCAAAAAAGACAGAATCAATTCTTGAATTCTGAAACTTGTAAGTTTAGATCCTTCCACAGAAATAGATTTATAGAGCTTTATGAAAATACTTTAAAAATATTTTAAGATTGCCTATTAGCAGTAATTATCCCAATATTATAACTCGCAACATACTGTAATTATATCTGTTTAATAGGGGCAATTAACAGTTTTTAACATTTACCAAAAAAATTAACAACATAAAATACTCTGTAAATGTAAAAAAGATTTTAAAACCAACAGTCAGGGGAATACTTTTGCTGGACTAAAATTTCAATATCTGATTTTAATTAAAGTCACTACTAAACAACAATACCAATACATATAGTATAAAGGTTAAATAGCTTTCATAGCTAACTATAAAGTAATATAGGTCAAGTGTTACTTTATATACTTGAATTTCAAAAGATTCCTTCTATTTACCTTTTGGCATTTGATGTTTTGGTTTCTCCTTCAGATATATTAGGTCTTGCAATGTCCTGAAATGATTAATAATATTTTTATCTTACACTCATAGCAAAACTTAAATTGTATTAAATTTCTAAATAAAAGAAAGTGTAAAACAATACACCAAAGAAAACAGAAAAATAATTTTTAATTTAAAGCATAGAATAATTCTCACAATTAAAAGTAGGTTTCAAAAATATTTAAAGTCAAGAATTTCACTGCATCAAAAGTTTCTGAATCCAAGACAAGAGGCAGTTACCCAGTTATATCAATACCTATTTTCCTTAACTCTCTTTCAAATATGGACCATAACTACAATTACTTGAATAGGAAGTAGTAAAATGCAACTTGAATTCGAGTAAGTAATTCATCTACAATATTTTATATAAATACGCTAACTACAAACACTTAGAAAAAACATTTCTGAAATTTTGATTCCATATTGCAGTCATTATAGCCTTTTCACTATCAAATGCAGAGTATGAAAATAGACAAAGGGAAGAAATATTTTGCTTATTTCAAATGTTTTAAGAGGAAAAAAATACAGGGAAAGCCCAGTATGCCAGGAGCTACACTGACATTCTGTAACAACTACCAGCTATTGAGTAAATAGGATGTATAAAGTATTATGTTAAAACTTTACATTCACTATTTACAAAGGAGAAATAAGTGGGCTGAGTAGAAAACCCAGCAAAGATTCTAATCCAGGCCTAGTTTTTAACACCTATAGCAGCCTGTGGAACTGGAAGAGTTTATTGTTTGTCTCCTTATCTTCCTAAACTCTGCTAAAATGAGGGCAAAGAAATAAGATTTTTACTCACAAAGACCGAGAATAGCCCAAGCACACTAATTACTGAAGTGACCTCAGTGAGTCTGCAGAAGACGGAAGGCGTCACACTGAACCACCAGCAGTGGGACAGGCAGGAGTCAAGTCTGTCTGAAGAACCTAAAACATCTTGCATCTCGAAGAACCCAGTACAAAAGGCAAAAAAAGAAAAAGGACAAGGACTGCTAGGAAATCTAAATGCTCCTTCTTTACCACAGAGGTTAAAAGTTAAGATGAACACCAGCAAAAGGCAGGCGTGAGTGCTGAGGGAAAACAGGAGGGCTTCCAAGTCCGTAATATTGAACAGAGAAATACATCCAGTCCCTGCTCTCACCTGAGTCCCAGAATGCCAGAGTCAGAGGACTCACTCCCCACTCTACCACCCCAGTAAGAATTTAGAAGACTTCTCTTTGAAGAAAATCATCAATCCCAAAGAAAGATTTCTTATAGTGACTTTCAGAGCATTCTCTTCACAAAAAAAATCAGCTCACCATCTTATTTTCCTACATTACAATGTAAACATTACCCATATAGATTGTACAGTGCACAAGTCCAGGAAGCAATATTCACATTATAATTCACATCAACAGGTCTCAAAAGTGTAAGTTACATACACCTAGGGAATCCAAGCCACTTTCAGGAGGCATGTCAGGCATGTCATAA